TACTTTTCTTACTGAAAGTTTGTAGTCCTTTTCCACATTCCCCCACACAGCCAAGGCACACAATAGAGCTGTTTGTGTCTCTAAGGCCATCTGGCCATATGAGGACCAGAACCTACCAAGTGTCACAGACTCAGAGCAGTGTTTCCCAAAGGGTGAAAATCAAAATCATAAAAGAGATCCAGTTATCAGAACAGAACCAGTGCTTCAAGGAAAATGGTGAGAAAATCAGTTTTGGGTTTTGAAGTGTCACAGGTAATCCTGACCAAAAAAAAAAAAAGAGTGTCTGAGATTCTCACACTGACAACTAGAAAGTAAAAGCATTAATTTCTCTCAGGGTTCTCTGACTTTACCCAGCCTTTTCATATTTTTCCCCACCCTTCCTCCTGTCAGACCAATGTCCCAGAGGGCCCTCAACTCCATAGATCAAGCTGTGGAAGGAAGTAGTTTCTGACAGGGTCCAGGGAAGTAGGATGCCTTTCTCTTTGCAGTAGAAACAGAGGCAATGGCAGAGTGCATCCAAAGGTGGGAGTACTGCAGGAAGTCCCTGCCATGCTCCATTCCAGCTTCAGGCTGCTGATGGGAGTGTGGAGTGCTGTCTGGGACAGATCCACTTGTTCCTCTTTCTTTCAGCATCACTTCTCTCTCCCTCTGGTGGTTCTAGGGTTTGAAAGCAGAGTCTTACACTTGGTGAGCTACTCCCTCATTTTTTCTTTTGCAATTCTTTTTATTTCCCTAAATGGCAAGGACCCTCAGATCCTCAGCTCAAAGCCTCACTTAAGCATTAGGAGAAGTAAGTGAACTCCTCCACAATGGAGAAGCCCAGGAGAATAGATAACAGAGGCAAAAATCTGTATATACAGTCTACAGGGTTACTCTAATTTCCGCTCAAGTGCCAAAAGATCACCACATCAATCCTCCACAGCCTGACACATTATTGTATAAACAGTCCTCACTATCACCTGCTTTCGCTAGCAGCTTAAATTAGCTCTGAACAACCACTCAGCCCACAGGCTCTGGTGACTTGTTTAAATAACCTCTGTGGTAGGGAATTCGTTTCCTCCTCAGCCCCCATTGCTGGCACAGAACTTAAGTTCTCTAGGTGATAGTCTGCTCTATCTTGCTCACTCTCTTTTACTCCCTAGTTCCTGGGCTGGACAATAAATCCCTTTTAATGGCCCCAAATGATCCCACAGTTATTTGTTTCCTCACTCTTCTCTCTTCTGGGCAATTGCACCTCAGGGCCTGACACAGACGCATCAGCTACCTCAATGTCCTGGGCCTTCCCTGCTCCTGTCTGAATAGAAGGCATGTGCAAGCCCAGGCTGGAAGGAAAAGTGGGAACCCTGTTACGCTTCACCCTGAGAACTTATTTTTATACTGGAAACAGGTGAAAAATATCAGAAGTTTGGGGATATGTTTTAGGGTAGATTTCTCTTAGCCATTACCTAACAGCCTCTCAATTTTATGATGAGGCTTTAAAGTTGGCAAAGTATTTCCACATGACATTTTATCTCTTTCTCTAAAACTCTAGATGAAGTAAGCATTATTACTCTTATTTAATATGTGACAGAGTAGTTAGGATATGAAATATGGAGAAGTGGGAAGGATGACAAACCTCAACTCCATCAGTTACTAGTTGAACAAATGTGAGGAACTCATTAATCTTTTAAGTCTCAGTCACCTCATCCAGAAAATGAGATTTAAGAAACAAATATTCTGTTAAATACTACATTTTATATATTTCTGTAATATATAAATCATTCAATATATATATGATCACTCGATATATATTCACTCAATACATTATCGGACCAAAGAGTATTGTTTGTTTAACAATCATATGTGATACAGGCTGACGAATAGCTCAGTGGACTAAAGTGCCCAATTAGGCAAGCTTAGGCAAGCACAGGGACCAGGTTCCATGCCCTGCACTACAGGCTGCCGTGCCCGCAGGGCAGGCTAAGCAGGCCAGAGTACAGGCTTCAAGCAGGAGGCTGAAATCAGGAGGATCATTATGAGTCCACGCTGTGTAGTGAGACCCTGCACAACCAAATACATTTTTTTTAAAAAAAATCATATATGATAAACTGGACACAGACTTCTGACTGAAAATCTCCTTCCACTACACGTCCTATAAGTGGATGTCTTTGATTTGTTCTACTTGACAGGTTTTGTTGTTTGGGTTTTTTTTTTTAACCTTCTTGGAGAAAGTATTATTTTCCCATAAATTTGAAATTTTTTCAGTCATTCTTCCTTTGATTTTTTTTTTCAGTCCTGAGGATTGAATCCAGGCCCTTACCACTGAGTTATCATCCCTCATCCTTTTGTAAATTGTTTTAAAATGTTTGTGACATGGTCTTTCTTGAATTTCTCCATGCTTGGTTTCAAACAAAGTCACTTCCTTGGGGGAAAAAAATAACAGTTACCTATTTTAGGATTGATTCTACTCCCAAGGAAAATCTGAGGTAAATCTCTAAAGCCTGGCAGAATAAAATGAGCAATCTTCTCTGAGTGAAGAAAAAATCCTAAATAAAATAACAGCAAGTAGTTTTCAATAATCCATGCTGGAATGCAAGTGTGGTTCAACATCAAGCGAGGCATTAGTGTGGACAGGCACTGAGGAAGCATTCAGTTAAGGATGAAGCAGCCATACTGGCTTATTAAAATGTTATTCCAAAGTTTAAATAGGAAGATAAATGCTAAGTATACACACTCTCTTCTGCTAGAATTCCTTTCAGACTCTTCATTACACTTAGAATAAAATTTTAAGCTGGGCATGGTAGGATATACCAGTCCTGGAAGGTGGAAACAGGAAGAGGATCATAAGTTTGAGCCCATCCTGGGCAATTTGGCAACTTAGATTGGGGATAGGGGAGGGAAAGAGGGAAAGAGGAAGGAAGAGGAAGATTTTAAATCTTTTTTTAAGGGTGGCAAAATTGTATATTTACTAAAGGTAGGGGAACAAACAGGCTCTACAAAGCAAATTTGGCCCAAGTAAAGGTAGGAAAAAGGAGAAAACAAATTTAAAATACACCCTACAGCCTAGGGTGGCTACCATGAAGAAACATGATAGAAAAGTTTAAATCTTAACAAGGCTCCGCAAGACCTGTCCCCTACTCCCTGCATAATCTCACATCTCATCCCTATCCTCTTCAGGCTAACCATTTTTGGTTACTTGGTCATACTTAGTTCCTTAAACATAACAGGATCATCCCCACCTCAGGGCCACCGCCATCAAGGTCTTTCTCTTCGCTGTTCTTTGATCACAATTCCACAGAACCAGATTTTTTCAAATTTTAAAATCAAAAGGGGAATAATGGCAATCTGTCTTCAAATAGTAGAATTTTATATCATGTATGTGCTTTTTTGTGAAATTTTGTGAATTTTTTAAATATTTTACTCTATATACATAATTTTTTAAAGCCAAACAAGTCTAATATATTATTTTAATTTATTTTGAAATGTGTAAAATACAAAACATTGATCTGTTTCCTCAAAATAATTACACAAATGTTCCAATGCTATTTCTTAAACAGTGAAAACTTTATCTGCAAATATATAGTGCTAATATAACGACCTATTAAATGTTTTGGTGTTGGTCTATGAAGTTTTCCCCCAGTTCTATTAATCTGTTCACTGTAGTATTAGCACCACACTATTGTAGAGTCCTTTTTCTTAATGTATTTTAATACAGGGTCTATAGGGTCTCACTACACAGATTCAAGTCATAGTGATCCTCCTGTTTTCAGCCTTCTAAGCACTGCTTTGACTTTTGATAAAGCAAAATGTCACCTTATTCCTCTTTTTCTATATTTCTCATCCTTATTTTCACACTTCATTTTAGATAAAATTTAATTTTGCTTCCTAAAACTCCCATTACCATTTTGACACCAAATAGATTTCACTGTAGCTTAATCTAGGAGGACACACACTTTTGCAACAGCTCATATGCTTTTGAAATCTGATCTATCTATTTATAAGGGTAGTAATCTGATCTATCTATTTATATTTATAAATTATAATTTATAATTTTTACACCCACTATACTGAGGAATTTGAAAGTCTTACATTGTTTGTGTTAACACTTAATGCAGGTATACTTACTGGTAACATAGCATAGATCATTTTGCATTACGTTTGGGCTTATTTTTCGGATTATTGCTATATATAAAAAGTATAGTGATATTTGTTGAGTGCTGATTGCATGCCAGCTCCTTCTGTTAAGCACTTTATTACTTATTTGTATCTAGGCATGAGCTAATTTTCTATGAAGAAATCAAGCCTTGAAGACCCCTGAGACTCTGACTAAGTTTTCACCACTAACAAAAGCAAAACCTAGACCTAACTTTAAGTACTCTGAAACCCCTTTTTATCTCTACTACTCTTTCAGTGGATTTTCCTCCTGCCCTAGGTAAATCATCATCTCAACAAATAATTTGTTCTACTCCTTTCAAGTATATTTGCTACCTCCTTTAATTAATGGTGTATATTTTATCCATCTCTTATAATGCATACACTTGTATAAAATATAATTTTAAAACCTGTACAATACCATAGTATACTATATAAACTGTGAAACAGTTCAAGATTATTATAAGCAGATAGAATTTAAAATAAGATTTAGATATTATTCCTATAACACTGAGTTGCCAAATTAGAAGTTACTGGAATGCTTACACTGCGCAGACTTCCAACGTTCTGTTTTTGTGCCTACTATTAATTTGTTGCTTATGTTTTTTAAAAAATTATAAAATTTGGTCTAAGACTTTCAGGAAACATAGTATTGCTCTGTTGCACAGGCTATCCTTGAACTCTTGGTTCAAGCGATCATCTTTCCTTAGCTTCCTGAGTAACTGAGACTACAGGTTCATGCCACAGAGGCCAGCTCTAAGATAATTTTAATGCAAAGAAAACACAATTTTGCTTAGCTTCATGTCCTTATCCAGCTGAGAGTACTTGGTAAAAACTTTTTGGTGACCATATTGCAGAAAAGAAGGGAAATGAATGGAGGCAACCAGAGTGAGGACTCTGAATTCCTACTCATAGGGCTCTCGGAGGTTCCTGAGCAGCAACAGATCCTGTTTTGGGCATTCTTGTCCATGTACCTGGTCACAGTGGTGGGAAATGTGCTCATCATCCTGGCCATCAGCTCTGACTCTCACCTACACACTCCCATGTACTTCTTCCTGGTCAATCTCTCTTTCACTGACCTCTTCTTTGTCACCAACACAATCCCCAAGATGCTGGTGAACCTTCAGTCCCTGAACAAAGCCATCTCCTATGCAGGGTGCCTGACCCAGCTATACTTTCTGGTCTCCTTGGTGGCCCTGGACAATCTCATCCTGGCTGTGATGGCATACGACCGCTATGTGGCCATCTGCCGCCCCCTCCACTACACAACAGCCATGAGCCCTAAGCTCTGTATCTTGCTCCTCATCTTGTGTTGGGCCCTGTCTATCTTCTATGGTCTCATTCACACTGCTCTCATGACCAGAGTGACATTCTGTGGGTCTCTCAAGATCCACTACATCTTCTGTGAGATGTACGTCCTGCTCAGGCTTGCATGTTCTGACACCCAGATCAATCACACAGCGCTAATTGCCACAGGCTGCCTCATCTTCCTCACTCCATTTGGGTTCATGATCATATCCTATGTCTGTATTGTCAGAGCCATTCTCAGGATACCTTCAGCTTCTAACAAGTACAAAGCATTCTCTACCTGTGCTTCACATTTGGCTGTGGTTTCCCTCTTCTATGGTACACTTTGCATGGTATACCTGCAGCCCCTCCATACCTACTCCCTCAAGGATTCAATAGCAACAGTGATGTATGCTGTGGTGACTCCCATGATGAACCCTTTTATCTATAGTCTGAGAAACAAGGACATGCATGGTGCTCTGGGAAGACTCCTAAGAAAACCCTTTCAGAGGTAAACATGACGGTAACTGGGAAAGGAGCAAAGAAGTGGAGACCGAGAATACTCTTCACCATATGCAAGTCATTATCCTATGGATCATGCACCAGCGATTAGGACATAGCTCCAGCTGAGAATGAGTGTATATATCTGTGGCAGTGAAAGGACACAGAAGTATAACAAGTGTCCCCAGATCTCACTAGCCTTAGTAATAAGCTTATACTAACACTAGAATTTTGCATTATCAAACTTTTCAATATGCATGGACCATATTCAGCCTCTTCTAATTATCAGTGGATTGTCAACAATGGATTTCAGCAACAGCCCCCAGGTCCAAGAACATCCTCCCCTTGTCCTCAGCAGCTGGCCAGCCTGCACATTCCCCCTTTACCAGGCCTGCGTACCTGTGAACTCTACCATCTGGCCTACCCAGAATCCCATTTCAGTGAGGCTCAATGAGCTATACAAGAACACAGACACATAACTACACAAGATCAGGAAAAAAATGCATGAAGAAAATGCATTTTTCATTTGCAACAAACACATGATAAGTTCAACAAATATATGGTAAAAGGGAACTAAACAGTAATCAGGAGTTACACAATATAATAACTGAAGTGAAATAAATCAACAAAGAGTTTCAAGATCGACTAATGCAAGTAGAACATAAAATCAGCTCCTCAAAATTAGGAGCTCACCTGGGTCTTATTTCATAGGGAAACATTGGCATAACAACACAGCTACGCTACCTGGGGCTGGACAAAACAGAAAGGAGGCATTGCTCTTAGCCAGTGCTCAGATTCTGATGGCTGCTCTGGTATGGCCAATGGAGGTCCCAAATATGAGGTACCAGTAGTATAACCCACCCACAAAGCCAAAAATAGGTTATTTTAAATTATCCTGGTAGAGAAATAAAATGAAAAAGAGCAAAGAACATCCATGGTACTTACAGGATACCAATATATAGTATATAGAAGTTTCAGAATAACAGAAGTAGAAACAAGCAGAATTTTTACTTTTAAAAATAATGCTAGGCATGGTACCCACAACATGGTGAAAGAGAGATCTCAGTGTTCCCCTAACCATGCCCTCTCCAACCCCATAAATTCAGAAGCTCACCTAGCAGTTCTCCCCAGGCAAGAGCACAATTTAATTAAATAAATAGATACTCAAAACTCAGGAAAATGCCTCGTGGACCACAGTACCTAATAAAATAAACTGCATTAGAAAAGTAAGAGAAACAGTTTCACTGTAAGAAAATCGTCCATCATCCTCTGTCAAGTTAGTACAATGACATCAAGAGGATTTCCCCAGACTTACAATTATTTACAGAAGAAAGGAGAACTAAAGGCCAGCATCCAGTTTCCCTAGCCTTGCAAAATGCCTCTCAAGAAGCTCACCTGGGTCTCATTTCATAGGGAAACATTGGCATAACGGCACAGCTACGCTCCCTGGAGCTGGACAAAACAGAAAGGAGGCATTGCTCTTAGCCAGTGTTCAGATTCTGGTGGCTGCTCTGTTATGGCCAACGGAGATGCCAAATATAAGATACCAGTAGTATAACCCACCCACAAAGCCAAAAAGGCTGCCCCAGAGACATGGTACAAATTTCAATCTGATACAAGTGCTTACACAACCTCTATGGTCAGCCTCAGACCCATTCCAGGGCCCAAGGAGTGCCACGAAGCACTTCAGGAAAGGGCAGTAGTTAAGACTTGTGCCAAGTACACATTCAAACAGTGGCTCAGGTCAGTCTCAGAGCTGATACTCAGACCTTGTCCAGGGAGCAAGACATCACAGTAACTCCTAGCAAATCACAGGGGCTAGATTTGTACCACTTGGTCATTCAAACAGTGGCTCAATTTAGCCTCAAGCCCCACCCAAAAAACCACTCAGGGAAGGAGATGCCTACCATACAGCCTTTCAGCAAAGGGCAGAGCCAAACTTACACCACCCAGAAGTTCACACAATGGCTCAGCTCAGCCTCAAAGCCCAAAAGCCCACCCTAAGCTTCTACTCAGACAGGGAGTCAATCCCCATCTGAGTAGAGCAGTAGATCCCAATCATCCTGAGCAAAACCTGGCCTAATCTTGGGGACCCATTCTATAACCCAGTCCAATAGCAGAACTCAAGGAATGGATCTGGGCCCCCAGAATGGACCTGGTGTTCCAGCCCCGTCTGAGGTGATCAAGGTGTTTAGCCAGCAGCTTTGTCTGACTGCAAAGTCCAGCCGGCGGTCTAATTGGAAAGTGGATCCTAGCCCCATTCCCACCTCAGAGCAAAGGTTTAGGCCCAGAGCATGAGAACCTGACAACAAGCTCTACCTTCCCCATGTCATAACTACATCCTGGCCTATCCAGAATTACACCGAGGCTTTATAGTGAAGGCCTGGCACTGCAGCTGAGATCCCGGGGCTGACTCCGGCTGGGATGGGGGACTTCCTACACGGCCCTCTTACTCCCCATCCAGGACACTCCCCCAGCCTCCTGCTTGGTCCTCGGGTTGAGAGTGCAAGGACCCTTTTTCCAACCCAAGGAAAGCCACAGCTTCCCCCGTTTTCTACAGTGAGAGTGTGCTGATCCCCACACTACTCCAAGGAACAGCTTTTTTTCAGAAAAACTGTGAATTTCGTCCAGCCCTGTTTCTGCGGAGGAGAGGCGCCTGGGACCATTACTACCTTATTACAACCCTACCAAAGAAGTCGGCTCGGTAAACCCAGAACTCGGAGCGTCCCTATTTCGTTCCGGGGGGAGGGATGAAGGCGAGCGGATAGCCAATGAGAAGATAGGAAAGGCAGACCGCCTTCAGAAACAGCCAATGAAAAGACAAGAGTGATCCGCTCTAAAATTACCTGCCCCGTCCACCACACCGTTCTTTCTCTGTCTAGCAGGTTGCGTGCGCCATCCAGTGGCGGCCGGACGGGGATATCGAGCATCTTAGAAATGAAATTAAAATCTTAAACTGTTCTAAATTTTGCAGCGTTCTCCGGTTTCGAAGAAACATAACCTCTCCGCCCACTAGGGAAAGAAACAATCCCGAACCTCCTTTCTTCCTTACATTCATTCTTTCCCATGAACGAACCTATCGCCAGGGTTTCTTTTGGAAATAAACCGTATCAGCTAGAGTCTAACCAAACTAGGAATCTACCGTGAAGGCAGAGCAGAGACATTTTCGAACATGAAAGAACTCACCGAATTTGTCTCCCGTTTTTCCTGAGAAGCAGAGGCTATGAAGGAGCAAAAAGACAAAGGGCTCGCGCGGGCTCTGAGCCGGGGTAAAGGGACTACGAAGGAGACCATGTGTAGGAGAACATCGTCCGCAAGCTAACCTGAGGAAACTGTTCACTGAGGAAAACAGAACTGTGTAAGAAAGAAAACGTATCTTCTCTTCATCTAAATCATTATAATGACTGGTGCATCTTTATTGCCCTTAAAAAATAGAAGTAATGTATTTTGGGAAAATGAAGGAGGGGAGGAGGGTTTAAGAAAAGTAATTGCAAATCAAATCTGTCCTAGGAGGAAAAAACAATAAATATGACTAAAATAGATCAATACACAGCAATATAAGTATATTATGAAACAATATGAAACTGGAGAAAAAGCTGCGGGAATTAAAAGTGGTTTTCCTTGGGTAATAACTGATAGAAATAAAAGGAAATCAGGTAACATTTTCGTTTTCAATCTACTAGGTCTATTAGTCCAAAAGGTAGGCACATTTATAACCAGAAATACTGAAATGAGAATACAATGCAATACTGTGGAGGGCAGTGCCAGTGGGGGAGAGCTGTCCCTCTCCTGACATAACTGATTAGCAAGGCTACCGAGTTATTTGCTTTGTCATTGGTTATAAAAAGCAAAATTGTAAAAGTACTTGCTTTTGCTTTTCAAAATAAAATAAAATTTGGGGCCAGGGAGATGGCTCAGTGGAATAAGCGCTTCCCTGGCAAGCACAAGGGCCTAGTTCAATCCCTGGTTCTGCCAAAAAAAGAAAAAATAAATAAAATTTAAAAAATGAAATTACAGATACATGCAAAAAAAGAAAGAAAAAAGACTATCAACTCAATAGAAAACAACAAAGAGCATTAACAATTCACAAGAAATGTGAATATCTTTTGAGCATAGTTGTTCAACTGCATTCATAAGTATTTAAAATATAATGGAATACCATATTCAGGCTTATCAAAACTACAGTGCATAGTTAAATTATAAAAAGTTTGGGGCTAAGGAGATAGCTTAGCAGTCTAAGTGCCTGTCTGGCAAGCACAAGAACCCAAGTTCAGTTCCTGGTACCACATGCCATGCTGTCCCAGACCCCCAGGCACACTGTTCTGGCCACCGAGACCAGGCGTGGTGGCACACACCTGTAACCCCAGCACTGAGGAGGCTGAAAACAGGAGGATCACTATAAATCTGAGCTGCATACGGAGACTCTGTACCAAATACATAAATAAAAGATTTTTTAATTATAAAAAGTTATTACAGTGAAAGACACACTGTTACAAATCCTCCTCAAAATAACCTCCTTCACTTAGAACACACTTATCCCATCCTTCTTGGCACGTTCTGGAGCAGTCTCCAAGTCCTCTTTCACGAGTGTCCCTAGGAGACACAATCAGAACCACAGAGAGTGCTGCTGCTGGGCGCCATCCAGTGGAAAGGCAGGCTGGTAAAAACATGGAAGTATGTCCTCACCTGCTTCTCCATCAGACCTGGCGCCAGGTGACTCCTGACTCTTCCCAGAAGTCAAAGTGATCACAAATGTTAACAGAGTCCACTCAGGACATGAAAATGCAGTGACAGCATAAGTAAAAACACACAAAAAAGGACCTTCAGAACTGTTCCAGAAAGTGGCAAGCATTGTGGGACAAGTGTGCTTGGGGGTGGAAGTACTTTGAGGGGCATTAAGAGCAATGTGTGCTTTACTGTAATAATTTTTTATTTAAATATTTACTGTGGCCTGGGGAGAAAACTCAGTGGCATAAGGGCCTGCCTGGGAAGTGCAAGGTCCTGAGTTCAATCC